CGTGCATTACAGTTTCAGTGTTTAGGGAACCTGTTCACGGTTAGAGGACTTTCCCATGCTGACTCAGGCTCATTTCACTGCATAGCCTCTTGATTATACACCTTACAGGCTTAAATCTAAAAAGATAATAATAACAATTATTATATAATAATTATTATGATTATTATTAATAACAATTATTATATTATAATTATTATTATTATAAAAGTATCATTGGAGAAACAGAGAGTGGACAGAATCTATGAGACCTTCTCATTTCCAAGATAAACACTAGGCTATCCTTGATATGCCATATGGGAAGGCACTGCTGTTTCCCGGCTTTGTAACTTTGAGCAGGTTACTTCACCTCTTTGTGCCCACATTTCTGCATCTGAGCGATCATATCTGTTTTTCACATGTGTTTAGGAGATTTGGAAGTAATGAATGTAAAGCACATAGTGTAGTGCTAGGCACAGAGTGAGCACACAATAATTGATCACGATTATTAAGATCAGTGGTAACTCTTGCCAGTTGGTGGTTTACGGATATTCTTCATGCTCAGATATCCAGATGCTAAAGAATAAATACCTATGTGCAAATGTTATTGTCTTACATGTGACTCACTATATATTCAAATGTAAGGGCCCCTTTCTATTTCAATGCATTTTATTTAAATTAGATAATTTACTTCCAAACTACTGATTAAAATATAACTTAACTTGTAAACTATTTTTAAAAATGTCCTTGTGAAAACTCTTTATGTATATAAATAAATACCTTTAGCTCCATTTGACTTCCCTTTCTTTTGATTAAAAAGAAAGTCAAGGAAATTGTTTTTACCAGCCTGACTCACAGTCAAAGTATTGTCATCCCAGAGATATCAAAGTGAGATGGCCAGTTGAATTTGTCTGGCTTTTGATTCCTATTTCATTGCACAGAAGACATCACCAGATACTTTAAGTTTTTAAGTCAAAAAGCTGGAGCTTACATAAGCAAAATGAACTATTAGTCTTTATTAAATCACTGAAATTCCTTAAGATTTATGGTTAAGATAGAAATATAAAAATGTCATTGTTAATATGTTCTGCATAAAGTAAGAATATCCAGTGCAAGTTAGAGCACCTCTTCTTTTAAGCCCCAAGTTTTTGAACTCTTTTTCTGTAGCAAACCACAAGACATAGTTGAATAACCGCTTTATTTTCATACATCCACTTAGAAATTCAAGAAAATAAAATCTCAGGTAATAGATGATTGTAGTAAAACTAAATTACATAATAATGGTAATAAATACAATTTATGTTCCCAGTGGAAAGGCTCGATGTTAAATGGTGCACTCTTGACTTTTGTGAGTCATCAAATATATAGTTCCCTAGAGAGTAGTAAAAGCGAGTTTATCGATACTTATCAGAACCCAGAAAGATATTATGCATTTTGAGCGATAGGTAGAAGAAGATGACTGTGATGGATGGTAAAATCGAGGATGGCTGAGTTTTATCCTGTAACAACTGGTGTGTCAATCCCTGCTTTTATTTTAAAATATGTAGGCAGAGCATTCCTGGACATTCCCCAGTTTATCTCATGCTGTACAAGACAGCATGAAACACCAGTTTAGAATCCTTAGCTCTCACACATTCTCTTCAGGCCCCATACACACAATAGCATCTTAAAAGCAAAGAATCTAAAAACATTAATTTCAAAATACTTATCTGTTACAAGGCCAGGGTGAGGCCTCACCCAATTTTAGGGAAGTATAAATGGAATTAAGCTCAGTGGTAACTTTTGCCAAGTTCCGAAATGATCAGATTCAACACTAACAGCTTTGGGGAGGAGAAAAACCTAGGCAGCCTGAATCCAAATCTAAGTTTCATATCTATGTACTTTAGATGCATTCACATAACCTTCCAACTCTCATAAGATTATTACATATTCTTTTACAATTCTTTGATTTTTAGTAAATGTACCAAGTTTTGCAACCAACAAATAAAATTATTTTTGATAGAATTTTATTCCTTGGTTATTAGAGAGAGACATTGTCTATTAAAGGCTTATTAGAGGTGAAGATACATGTTGTTTGTAAAGTACTAGGTACTTTTCGGGTTTTTTTATTTCTTGTGAAAGTGATGCATAATAATTAAAAGCACGCATTCTAGAACCAGTCGACCTGGCTTCAAATCTGTTTAGTCACTGGCTGTGCCACCTTGAGTACCTTAAGAGCCCAGTTCTTATGGTTGTTGTGAGTCTTAAATTAACTAATACATGTAATGTTCTTAGAACAAGTACCTGGCTGAAGATTTATCTCCCAGCATTATTCTTCAGAATATGGTCGCTGAAACATCCGAATTTTTAAATAAAATGTATCTTTTAGATGTCCTGCCTGAAAATGGCCTGAAGCTTCTTGACAAACTATAATCCAGTTAGTATTACTGAAAAAAGAAAAAACTGCATGTGTTATTCTTAATACATCTCCCTTATATTCTATTTATTTAGCATGTATTTATTGAGCAGCTACTATTAACCAGACTCTCTGCTGGATGCATTAAAGAGTACAGAAATAAGTAATGCATGGCTTCCTGCTTTAAATTAGCTTACCCAATTGTACTGCATCAAACACCATCATCGACGATGACATACTTAGATTGATTGACTAAGACTGATGTGTGACCAAGAACCCACTCCCCATATATAAGGGTCTTTCCTTTGCAATTGTAAAGATAAAAATGGGGCCTTTTATTAATATTTATGACTTAATTAAGACCAGTGTTTATAGAACATTCACATAAAACCACTTAGAGGGTTGTATATATCACAAAGGAAAAGCAACTGACCACTACCTTCTCTATGTATACCTTTATTTTAATGTTTTACCTAAAACTTTTAGTAACTTGAACCAGATATACCCCCAAAGCAGTTATTACATTTCTGCCAGTCATCAGTGTTTTCTTACAATTATAACTGAAAATAAAACTAGACTAATTTCTTCCTGAAGAAGATTCTGAAATAGTATTGGATTATTTATATGGTGGAGGAGGTGGTGATGGTGGTGATGCTGGTGATGGTGATGGTGATGATGATACTAATATCTAAGATTTAGCTTTGCACTTTCCATATGCTGGATGCTTTGCACTACCTTTAAAAATATCATTTCAAGTAGACCTCAAGTTAACCATGAGGGATAAATATGTATTAGTATTTACTAAAGAGAAAACTAAAGTTTACCAGCAATTAAGTAATGTGTCTAAACTCAAGCATTTAATAAATTCAAGACCATGATTCAAATCCAGGGTTACCTGACACCAAAATCTGTATATTTAATCACTAGTCGATATTACTACTCAATGTATCACCTTAGAAAACAGTCATATATAAGATCACTAACAGTTGCTATGTAACTTTATTTAGAGAGTAATTTCTTTGTATATTGTTCTTTCTGTTGATTTTAATGGTATCAGGTATTAGGATAATTAAATGTATAGAAGGCAAAAATATTGATTGGCATATAATATAATGAAATATAATAAAACATTGTGTTATATAATAAAAATTTAAAGAAGTTTATTTTTTAAATGATATTTGAGACAGGTTATCAACAATCCCTGCACATATGGACTCTCGTAACCACTTAAAACAAGAAAACCTCACCTATTTTCATGGTTCTGCAGAATGCTTTATACTGTCAAATTACAAAAAAACTTTCTATTCTACGTAGGCAAAAAATGAAATAAGATTAGACTTCTGTGGTGAGAACCATGCAGAAATGTCAGTACTTTTTTCTATTTTTTCTAGACTTGACCTACATGCAAATTTAAATATAGTACCTAGAAACTTAAACAAATGCCTTATGTAGGGAATATTAGGTATTCACAATCTTCCTATCAATCCTATGCTCCCATATTTTCATTTTTGATCCTTTTTTTAAATCTTTACAGTCAAGATACTAATCTATTAGCTCTTTAATATTCAGCATTTACTTTTGGCCCCAACTTGCATTATGCCATATTTTGCCTCTTATCATGAAAGATAAGTATTCCTTGATCCTATTTTCGTCTTGATCCTGTTTTTTTCATTGATCCTGTTTTCATCTTTGCCTGCTGTAACACTCCTGTTACATTAACAGCAACACTTTAAACCCATATAGCACCAACTTACTAATTTCACTCAACTTCATCTTATTTTAGATCCTCATTTTTCATTTACCTCAGTTCCTTAATCTTCTTGTTTTTATCCATTTTATGAATTTCCATAAGCCCCCTTACTTTTTTTTTGAATGATTGTTAAACCTGGCCTAGAAAGTGACAGAAGAGAAACTGAGAAATGACTGTTCTCACCAGACTCCCTGTGTATGACCGTGTTAAGCTTTCTGTGTAATATGATTATCCCACCTCTCCTCTGAACATAGACGTCTTCACAGTTATAGCGTTTGATGGGTGGTCCTCTCAAAAATTCAAGGAAAGTAAGAGTATATTATTAATTAACAAATTTTAGAAAGTGCAATGATCCTACCAAGTTGGTTTTTCCTGCACTCGAGTGTATATTTGATTTAATAAGTCCCAATGCACAGCGTCGAAGAGAGTAGAAGCCAGTGACTTACAAATATTGATGTCTGTGAAAGATATTTGGCTCAGGTGTAGGTTCTTTTTCTTTTTAATACAATTTGGAGTAACAGTATCTCAGTAAATGGAACTTTTGTAGCATTTAAAAGCAAATGCATCAAGTATCTTTTGTAATTTCTACATATTGGGTGAATGTGACTGGGTAATGTTAAAATGTGCCCATTTGCACTTCTCCCAATAGGAAAACAAGCTCATTTTCTATCTGTTCCTAAAAAATAGAAATTATAGGTCCTTGAAAATATCTTTTATTTTTAAATCAACTACTATTTTTTAATCTTTATTACTGTTAGATAGGACTATCTTTTCCCAAGACTCTCTAATTGGAGTTTGTATTGTCACTTCTTTTCTTTAGTAAAAATGGAAGTATCAGCTACCTTTGTTTGTTTGTTTGTTTTGTTTGTTTGTTTGTAGCGTGGAGACAATAAATGATGGGAACTTTCACATTGTGGAACTTCTTGCCCTGGATCAGAGCCTCTCCCTCTCTGTGGATGGAGGGAGCCCCAAAATCATCACCAACTTGTCAAAGCAGTCCACTCTGAATTTCGACTCTCCACTCTACGTAGGAGGTAAGCTGTCTTCTACAACCAATGGGTCCCCAAACCCCGTGACTCTCATCACAGACTAATTCTGAAGTTGTTGATGCCCCATGCCATGGTCATTGACCAACAGTGACCAGTCATTGATGATGGGCAGCACAGATAGACAAGAAGGAGCCCCTGATGAGTGTTAAGGGCACGTTTTGTAATCCCAGCTCTTGCTTTAACTAAATGAGTGATTGAGGTAGGGAAGGACATTATTCACATTTATTCGTTTCTATTACATGCTCGATGACATAAACATATAATTTCATCTTATTACTTGATCTGGTCTATGGAAAGAGATCAAATTGGACAATGAGGAAAATGATGAAATAAGGGGTATGCATGACCCCACACCTCTGCCCACGCCCCAGCTCCCTGGAGGGGGCAGATACTACCAGCCTCAGTCAGGTGTTCCCATGACAAAATGTCTGCACCACCAGTTGCTAACACGTGTAAATGACAGGACAGTTATGAATGAAGTCAAATGAATGAATGAACAAACGAATGAACAAATTAAATGTACAAAAAGTACATTTAACAAAAAGTAACAAAAAGTACTTCTGTTTAGTCAAGACCTTGAGGTGAGTGTACAAAGAGAGAGCATTGGGAAGACGTGTTAGGGCTTGGAAAGATGGAATAAAGACTCTGGACATTTTTAAATTTTTAAGCAACAAGAAGGCAGATGATTAAATAGATGAGGAAAGAAATATGAGCCAAACTCTGAAAGAGCCCCAAGGAGCGGAGCAGAGCCACCAAGGAGAGAGCTCGCACTAGTACTTCTATCTGGAGGAGTCAACATATACGGGAGACACAGAATTTCAGATTTTAGGCTAAGGAACAAGAAAGCATGTGATGTTGAATTAGTTGCATTGAATTAAATCACATTTCATTGTGGTGAACTGACTGATAATATTAACTCATTTTACAGGTAAATAAGCTAAAGCTTATGAACAGGTCAGTGTAACTGATTTCTTCACCATGACAAGTATTTTCATGAAGTTCCCATCATCCCCTTCAAAATAATACTTTTGACTGCTACACGATTTTCTTGACTCCTCAAAGCCTTCCTTGATGGCATTTTTGGAATTGTCCTGAACATCCAGAGCAGCTTTGTTTTTAATGATTTCTCTAATAGAAAATCTTAACACTTTTGATAGAGTTTTGATTTTTTTGAGAAACAGAAGTCTTTGGTTCAATTCTGTAAATATTTATTGAGCACCTCTCATATGCTAAAAACTAAGTTAATAGATGCATGAAGGATACAAAATTGAATATATATATATTTACGCCCAGGAGAGTGGGGAAGGCAGATATGTTTTCAAGGAATCAAATGCATTACATATGAAGTCTGTGTAGCAAATTGACTGATGTAGTTGCTTCATGGGAATCACAACCATGAGATTTATTAACAGACAGAGGCCCTCCATTTCCACTGCGCTTTAGTTAACAGCCATTGCTTTGGGATGGGTGAAGCAAGTCACAGATATACCTGTGGTTTGAGAGAAATTATATTTACTAGGCACATGCTGTGTGCTCAACACAAAGCTTCTTTTACAATCTTAATCCTCAGGGACTTTAGAAAGTAGGTGTCATTTTTTGTTTTACAGTCCTGAAGCAACAGTCTCAGGAACTTCATGAAACTCATCCAAGTTCACAAAGCTATGAAGTGATAGACACCTCATTTGAGTCCAGATCTGTCTGACCCCAGAGCCCCCTGCATTGCCACTCACCTTAACCTGGAGCAGAAAGGGAAGCAATCTAAGTTTTGTGGGTTTTTTTGTTTATTTCTGGATTTGTCCTTCACTTTATTTCATTATGCTTTCATTAGAAGCCATTTCTTTACATCTTTTAAAACTCTTTCAGAATGCAGTGAGAAAGGCCTCATTTCCTTCCAATTCGAGGGTAATTCAGATTAAAGAAATACAAGGCAATTGTAAGACCACAGCCCCGAATTCTGTATGGCAAAGGCAAGAGAACCTGCATTAGCAAAGGAGAATGAGGCAAACAAGTTCTTTTTGTCCATGTTTGAAAACAGGGACATACTCCAAGGAGGACATGAGAAGGTGATGCCTCCTATGCCTGCAGCGTCTGGAAGTATTTTCTAGCAAAATAGAGAAGCAGCTTTACCTACCCTTCGGTTATCGACTACCCATGATGTAGGCTCTACTAAATACAAGACAAGCTAATCCTTATGCTTTTCTATGTGATAGTACAACCAGAATATGTAGTATTACCAAATGGGATTTTTTTTAAGTTATTTCCATGTATTTATCACCATGAATAATTCTGCAGTAAACATAGGGGTATATATATATCTTTATAAATATTTTCAAATTGTTATGTGATAGTACAACCAGAATATGTAGTATTACCGAATGGGATTTTTTTTAAAGTTATTTCCATATATTTATCACCATGAATAATTCTGGTGATTATATATAGTTATATATATACCCCATAAAGATATATATACCCCATAAATATAGGGGTATATATATCTTTATAAATATTTTCAAATTTTTCAGGTAGATACCCAGAAGAGGGGTTGCTGGGTCATATGGTAATTCTATTCTTAATTTTTCGAGGAACCTCCATACTGTTTTCCATAGTGGCTGTACCAATTTACATTCCCACCAGCAGTGTATGAGAGTTCCTTTTCTCCACATCCTCTCCAACACATTATTTCCTGCCTCATTGATAATAGCCATTATAACAGGTTTGAGGCGATATCTCATTGTGGTTTTCATTTGCATATACCTAATAGCTACTGAAGGTGAACATCTTTTCAGATATCTGTGGGCTGTCTGTATTTCATCTTGGGAAAAGTTTCTGTTCAGGTCCTCTGCCCAGTTTTTAGAGTCTTTGTTTTGTTGTTGTTGAGTTGTATGCATTCTTATATATTTTGAATATTAGCCCCTTATTGGAAGTATCATTTGCAAATATCTTCTCCCATTTGGTTGGTTGCCTTTTTGTTTTTGTTGATGGTTTCTTTAGCTGTGTAGAAATTTTTGGGTGTATGTAGTCCTGTTCATTTATTTTTGCTTTTACTTCTCTTGCTTTTGAGGTCGAATTCATATAATCCTTTTTAAGCCCAGGGACCTTGAGTTTCATATTTACATATTTCTATATATTTCTCTGCAATTTATTGTTTCATGTCTTACATTTAGATCTTTGATCTATTTTGAGTAATTTTTGCATATGGTAACAAATAGCAGTCTAGTTTTATTCTTTTGCATATGGCTTTCTAATTCTCCAACATTATTTACTGAAGAGACTTTTTTCCCCCTCTATTGTATATTTTTGGCTCCTTTGTTAAAAATTGTTTGCCTATATACACTCAGGTTTATTTCTAAGCTTTCAATTTTGTTCCTTTGGTCTGTGTATCTGTTGTTCTGCCAATAGCATGCTGCTTTGATAACTGTCACCTTATAGTATAATTTGAAGTCAGAGAGTATGCTACCTTTGCGAGATGACTGGATAAAGAAGATGTGGTCTATATACAATGAAATACTGCTCAGCTATAAGATGAAACTCTGCCATTTGCAACAACATAGATGGATCTTGAGAATATCATGTTAAGTGAAATAAGTCAGACAGAAAAAGTTAAGAACCATTTGATTTCACTCATATGTGGGATATAAAACAGAAAGCAACAAATGAACAAATAAGACAACCGGATAAAGAAGATGTGGTCTATATACAATGAAATACTGCTCAGCTATAAGATGAAACTCTGCCATTTGCAACAACATAGATGGATCTTGAGAATATCATGTTAAGTGAAATAAGTCAGACAGAAAAAGTTAAGAACCATTTGATTTCACTCATATGTGGGATATAAAACAGAAAGCAACAAATGAACAAATAAGACAAACAAACAAAAACTCATACAGACAACAAAACAAAAACTCATACAGACAACAGGATGGTGGTTACCAGAGGGAAAGGGGGCGGAAGGGGAGGTAGAAGAGGGTAAAGTGGGTCAAATATGTGGTGGTGGAAGGAAACTTGACATTGGTGAACACACGATGCAATATGCAGATGATGTATTATAGAATTAAAACATATAATCTTATTAATGTCACCCCAATAAATTTAATAAAAATTTTTATATATATTAAGACCTGCATATAAAGACCCCACATGTGTCACAAATCTTCTAATGAGGCCATTGGACAGGGGACCTCAGCCTTGACACTCGGTTCCTTTACTGTCATTTTTAAACATGTAGAGTTGGTAAGGTCCTACTAAATTATCTGTTGGTTGGTTGGTTGATTGGTTGATAGCTTGAATTCCAGCTTTGGCTCATGGCAGAGAGAAAAGGCTAAAAGAGAAAAAAAAAATCAGTAGGAATCTACTTCTGTTTATCAATTAAGACCTAGTTCTCTAGTCAGAAATGTGCCAAGCATATGAAAAGGTTGACTCAGAATAGTTCCTGATTGAATATCTTATTGAAAATAAATATATGGGTGATATATCTACATTTGTATTAAGTATAATCAAAACTGGACCTTTTACGATTGTTAGCTTTGGGGATAAAAAGAACACATTTCCTAACCATTTCTCCCTGCTGTGAAGCATCACCAGTCTGTGTTAAAGTCCACACATTTATGATGGATGAAAGATTAAATCAGAAGAACTTATTTCAGAGCCAGGAATTTCCTGCTACTAGTCCTCTCCTGGAAATGGTACATCTCATCCTTCTGAACCTGTTCTACAAAGCAACCCAGTTTCCAAGGCCAGATGGGCATGGACCAAAAGGGAGAACTCATAGAACTTCAAAGCCGAGACTCCCGATTCAGTGCCTGTCAAAGTGTGACCATGGACTACCTGCTTCAGAATCTCCCGAGCTGCATGTTAACGCTTAGATTTCTGCACGCCATTCCATCAGAATCTCATGGTGGAGAGATTCTGGGGAGCTGCCTTCTAAACATGCACTTCTGGTGGTCCTTAGGCGTGACAAGCTTGGAAGCAACTGTTCTGGTCCATCCACTCATAGATGAGAACCAAGCCCAAGGACACACAGAACAACAATAAAGCCTTTGACACCTAGCCTAGTGCTTTGTGAACCTAACTATCCAACTTTGATGCCTGCTGGAACTCAAATGGGCTCCTTAGAAGGGGAAAGATGATGATGCCAAGAGTCAGGGTCCAGGGAACACTGAGGTTCTTGCTCTTCATAACCATTGAACTCCCTGGAGAATGCAAGCCGGGTCTCCTCCAGGCAGATGTTCAGACACCAGGCACAAGGAGGGCCTGAGTAGCAGAGAGGAAAAGCAGCTGCCCCGAAGGCCTCCTTCTTCCTCCTTTCCCCCACAGTGGCCTGGACAGTTGCCTTGTGTCAAGTCCCACACAGGAGCTATTTCAGGGTCTGGCTGAGGTCGTGGAAAGATTCCTCAGTTTTGCCAAATGAGGGTCACTAGTGGAATGTACATCTACAAAGATTACAAATCCTGTTTTTGGAGGAATTTCTTTTGTCTTCCCGATTTCTTGGAATGTGAAGCCTTCCTGCCGATTAGCAGGGGAGTGGGGGAATGATGAGAATGAGGTGTTGGGCTGATAGGAAGCACGGGAGAGGTTTTCAGGGACCGACGTCCATGACTGAGCCATGGATGTTGCCATTGGTGGGCTGGATTAGGTGCTAGCCTTGCGTTTGGCAGGGTCGGGGAGGAAGGTCACTGCGCACCCCAGCTCTCACCCTCTGACACGTGAGGGACTGAACCGAGACTGGAGATTGCAGAGATGTCTTTCATCTGCCTGATTCGAACTCAATCTTATTGGATAACACTGAGCACACTGCTGAGCTCCCTGGGCCTGGGCCCTTCATCATCAAAGGGCAAGATTGGTCAGGGGATTACTGACCTGTGTCATGGCTCTCTAGACCTCCTGGGGTGTGTCCAGGTTGCGGGCACTTGGGGAGGGGGGGTGACCGGTGAGAGAAGAGAACACTAACCCCTCCCCCTTCCCAGTCTTGCCTTAGCACAGTAGCTCTGCTTTTGTATTTTTCATATGTATGCCTCTGTGGAAGGTTTGGTTCGAAACAAATTTTAAAAATTAATGCTCGACCACCAATGAACTAAGTTCTTTATTCTAGTTGTGCATTGGAATTGCCCAGAGCATCTTCCAAAAAACAAAAATAGGGAAACACATCTCTTCTCCCTCGCCCACCTTGTCCAGATAACCCGATCAAGGAAGTCTGAGTTGAGGTCCTAAGCATCAGTGTTTCTTCTAAGATCCTGTGTGATTCTAATATGCAGCCAGGTAGAGACCCTCAGGACTGGATGCTCATGATATGTGTTTCTCCTAAAGAAGTGTCACACAAACTGCCACCCTGCTGCAAGGGCGAAGAGGGTCTGGGTGTCAGATAGCTGAGGAGTCCCCAAAGAGCCTGACCTCTGACTCGCTGTCCCTCCCCAGGCATGCCTGGGAAAAACAACGTGGCTGCGGCCCTGCGCCAGGCCCCGGGGCAGAACGGCACCAGTTTCCATGGCTGTATCCGGAACCTCTACATCAACAGCGAGCTGCAGGACTTCCGCAAGATGCCCATGCAGACCGGCATCCTGCCCGGCTGTGAGCCATGCCACAAGAAGGTGTGTGCCCATGGCACGTGCCAGGCCAGCAGTCAGTCGGGCTTCACCTGCGAGTGCGAGGAAGGATGGACGGGGCCCCTGTGTGACCAGAGAACCAATGACCCCTGCCTGGGAAACAAGTAAGTTTGGTTACTTGGTAGTTAAACACACGTACCCCAACCCTCAAAGCAAACCCTAAGGAAGGAGGGAGGGAGGGAGGGAGGAAGAAAGAAGCCCATTAGCACTTTCTCCCTCATTTTCCTTCACCATCCTCCCTCCATCCTTATCCTCTCTGCTAACGTGTTTTCATTCCTGTGCCCCTCCTCTTAGATGCATGCATGGCGTCTGCCTGCCCATCAATGCCTTCTCCTACAGCTGTAAGTGCCTGGAGGGCCATGGGGGCGTCCTCTGTGATGAAGAGGAGGCTCTGTTTAACCCCTGCCAGGCGATCAAGTGTAAGCACGGGAAATGCAGGCTCTCAGGACTGGCGCAGCCCTACTGTGAATGCAGCAGCGGCTACACTGGGGCCAGCTGTGATCGAGGTAAGCCAGCCCAGCTGGGCGCTTCCCTCTCTTGGAAAAGCAAGAGGGGGCTCCACCTTTGAAAAGAGAGTGAGAGAAAGGGAGACAGAATGAAAGAGGTGGGAGCGATGTGAGAAATGCCAGGTCTTTACAGGACTCTTAGTTGCTGCTGTCGACTTATTTCCCGGTGTTCCGAAGGCACCAGATGTGACATGTCCTAAGCCTCCACTGCAGGCTTTTACACGGCCTTCAGATACCTGTGAAAATGCTCCTTTTTACCTTACATAGAAGTACATTTACTTCCTTCTTACCTTTATCTGCTGTTCTCATCTAAATATATTATTAATTTGTCTTCTGGCACAGAGAGGACAGAGCTAATAATTCTGCTCTGGTTTTAGGATAAAGTCACCTTTGACCTTAGAATCGAATTAATTCCAACAAATTCTGCAGGTGAGAGGATGAGAACGGGCTGACTTGTTAGCCCATCTTTCTCTTTCTCTTGTGTCTGAGGGATCAGAATGCCCCTTGCCTCGAGCTGGCACAGGTTTTGTTGAGTGTGTCAGAGGGACAGACAAGAGGAACGTACTCATGGAAGCTTTCAGCAGATGTCTCTTTTTGAACTAGTTCACGCTAGGGTAACTTATGAAGTTAGTGGAATGTTACTCATATTAAGTAACAGAGTGAAAGATATTAAACTTCAAGTCTAATACATTAAATCGCACACTCTCTGAAACTGCTCCGTGCGGTAAACAAAGCCAGCTGTTTGGAGTGTAAAAACAGAAGATGGGTATTTTTTGCAATAAAGGAAAAGACTGAGGAATCCAATTTTCTTGTCAGTCCTATGGCGTAGTATTTATCGTTCCCATATATAGTATTCACTCCGCTGGGGGAAAAAAAAAAGGCCAAAAAGAAGCATTTTTCAAAGAGCACAAGGCTGTGCCCCCAGCCCCATAACACGTTACATAAGCGTAACACCGCAAAGGGCAGTTACACACAGGAAGCACAAGCAACGCCTCCTGAAGCCAGCTGTGACTTTTTGATCGCTCCCCGCCACCCCCCGCACCCCCGTGCCTTATCGCGACCGCCCTTAAAATGCTTGTGCTTTTTGTTCTTCTCCAGAAATCTCTTGCCAAGGGGAACGGGTGAGAGATTATTACCAAAAGCAGCAGGGCTATGCCGCCTGCCAAACCACCAAGAAGGTGTCGCGGTTGGAGTGCAGAGGGGGCTGCGCCGGCGGCCAGTGCTGCGGGCCGCTGCGGAGCAAGCGGCGGAAATACTCGTTCGAGTGCACGGACGGCTCCTCGTTCGTGGAGGAGGTGGAGAAGGTGGTCAAGTGCGGCTGTGCCAGGTGCGCCTCCTAACCGCCGCCCCCGGGAAGGCGGCGTCTGCTTCCCAGCCGCGCTGGACGGAGTCACGCTTCATAGTGGAAATATTTGAAATATATTGTAAAATACAGAACGGACTTATTTTTATTATGAGAAATAAAGACTTTTTTTTTTTTCTGCATTTGGAAGAAAAAAAAAAAAATGCTTGAACTACAGCTTCCCCGACACTGGAGAAGTATGAAGGAAGATATTCCTGGAGGCATTAGGGCAACGATGGTGACCACTGCGACTCGGGTTCAGCTTTCGTGACATGCTGAAGACAAGCAGAAGCACAGGGACGGGCAGGGACGAGCTGCCGTGCGCTGTGTGAACTGGCCCAGAGCCTCAGGCGCGCGCGCGCCCTCGTCGCCACCCCTGTGGCGCACGAGGACAGACCAAGCACACGTGTGTGAGTGAGGATGCGAGGCAGAGGAATGGAACCCAAGGATTCGGACAGAACGAACGGATGAGAAATATTTTGTGCAAAAGATAAAGTGTCCTGAAGACCTGGGTCCCATTCGCGAGAGAAGACGGGAGTGCTAAAATTGTATCTTCTTTTTAAATGTCAGCATGTTAACAGAAGAAGCACACAAAAGTGTTTATCTACCGTTTTCCAGTATTAATTTTTTTGTAATATAAATGATAAAGGAGATGATAAAGAACCAATAGATTATCGATAAATAAATTAGTAATAATATGAATTTTTGTTTCTATGAGTTCTAAACAACCCTATACAGTATTCAGTTTCAATGAGAAATATTTATTGTATCAAAGACCATTGTACTTAACATGTTAGGCCATCCTTTTGCTGTTTCTTGATGCTTTAATATATATTAATTTATAATTGTCCTGATATTTTTGTACATTTTTCAAACTTAAAAAAATCTGCCTTTTTTTTTTTTTTTTTTTTTTTTTGGGCAATAGTACTAACATAAGATGTTATCTTGGGATGAATATGTGTTGCTCTGTTTGTTTACTTTGACATCTGACACTGGTGTCACTGACCTACTGGCCTCACTCAGGACACCTGCAGAGAGTATGTGAAGTCTATGCCTGGGACAGTCATTGTACAAAAAGAAGCGGCCCCTCTGCAGCCTGTCCCCACAAAACAGAAATGGTGTGTAGCGATCGACACTAGAAAGTAGATCTTTGACAAATTAATATTTCCTTGATCTTTTTTGGCCCTTTTTTGGGGGGAGGGGGGGTGGCGAGAGAAAAGACTGTAATGTCAAGAACTGTGATTTTTTTTCCCCAAACAATAAAGCTCCTTTATTACCTATTAATGTTCCCACGTTAACATGTTTGCCACAAAATTACAGTGTAGAGTCGATCGTGATTTTTAGCGGACTTGCTCTTCCCTCATTAAAATCCCACGGTCCCCTGTAAGGATGCAGATGACTCTTTCCAAAAACATTTTTTTACAAAGAAAATTAGATGTACATGTATAATTCAGTGTGCTTCGTCTTTCTCCAGACTAATATCAGTTACACTACTGATGTTTGTAAATTAAACAGATATTTACTTCATTAACAGTTTGGTGATTTTCTTAGAAATGGCACGATACTTAGAGTCCCCTTCTTAAGAATTCCTTAATCAAAGTGATACAGAAAGAACGGAGAAGAGATCCTATACTTTTTATTGACAGAAATTGGTTCGATGTTAGCATATTGTCACATCTGGGGACTTTGGAATGACCACATGACAGAGATGGATAGACGAACACATTCTGTGCAAAGAAAAAAGTGCATATTCAATTAATTTCTTCCCCTAAAATATATAAGGTGAAGTGTAACTAAACCATAAAAGGTATTTATTTTTATTTCATTCTTTCCCCATTCTCCCCCACCCTCTCAGTTAGAACCAGATGAAAAACAACTAAAAACAAAAGGTGCCTTTCTCCACAGGTACTCCTGGGCCAGAGCCAGTGATATCAAGGTACTACCCAGAACAGGGGAACATTGACTGGTTGGAGTATTAGTACTCACCCACCATGCTAAGATTTCATTTCCCTGTAAGAAAGGCATGCATGTGCACACACGTCTCACTCACAGACACAAATGTCCAAACATTTACCCACTCTTATTTGAAATGTCTCCATTTTAGTTATATAAATATTATATATTTATATATATTTTTTTATTCCCATCAGTTGCTTCTTTTTCAAGAATCGTGAATCATTCATTAAGCAAAGAAACATCTGTGAAGATGACATGATTTAGATTTGTGTCTATAGGTACGGGTTACCTTAATAGCCACTCTTTTCTGAGGGCTTGTTAATACCAGGCACTGTGCCAAGGGTTTTATATGAAATACCTCATTCAGTTCTCACTACAGACCTATGAGATTGCTGTGCGTCCGATTTTACACAGGCATAAACAGCTCAAAAACAGAGGAGCCGAAATCTCCCCCAGGCCCCTCAAACGTCCATGCACAAGAGGTACAGGTGGCAGCTCAGTAACTCGTACCCACTGAGCATATTTGAGCCTAGAGACTTAGGTCCACAGTACAATTATTCTCTCTACATACAGATTATGTTGATTTAAGGAATCTAGAGTAGCGATTGTTTTTATTTTTGTTTTTGTTTTTTAAGGGGAAAAAAAGCGACGTCTTAGTAGTTTACCGATTGTTTTCTTTCTCTTCTCTGCTTATAAAGGCACGAAGTAGAATTACGTTTGCCTGGGATTTGGACTGAGTTAGCAAGTTTCTCAGGGGATCGTTTGCTTCACGATGGGACTATTTTCCACACATGAGCTTCTCTGAGCAAAGCCAATAGCCAAATGACTACTAGCAAATGAGACAAGTCAAGAGCAGTTCTTCATGTTATAAAAGGCTCCATATTTACAAAGCCTTGACCGTAAGTTTACTTTATTCTAGGGCTTCTCCAACAGACTATAATACATTAAAACAAAAAACGTTTTGCACATTTTGTGCTCAAAGCTACTACACAGAATAATGTGCATTTTTAACCTGAAAAGATATGAGTGATTAAAAAAAAAAAAGAGTGATTGCTAATGTGTTTACCTTTAAATTCTCACGTGAGTGAAGCACCATCAGGACATGGCATGGGGATTTGACATGTGTTCAATTTAAAATGTGTTCATGGAATAATAACTATCTCAATCTTTGGGATTGTTTTCAGCACAGATTTCCTGAAATAATTTCTAAGCAATAATAGACCAACCCCGGATTTAGAATTGCTCTGAGCATTTTCTTTTTTGGAAGGCTTGATTTGTCAGCAGCAATTCTCTCTGGAGAAATGATTGAAAGACTATTGAAATCGATTCAAGACTTAAAGATTGTGAGTGTTATGGTGTCAGCTTCCTCATAGAGTGACCGTTATTTCAAAAGAAATGCTTGTGAAAATATATAAGCTATAAGAAGTATATGAAGCTCTATATACAGTATATAAAGCTATATAAAATACATAAGCTATTTTCATTCTTAATTCTCTATGTACTCAAAAAATGTATTTAAAATCAGATGTTTGTTTCCTATCTCCTATCATGTGCAAGAAATTATGCTAAACTGTGATACATCTCTTCTGCCATTTTAGAGCATGTACTCTATGCGGTTGGAGTTGACGTTAAAGTAGGTAATAGATTTTTAGACAAATGGCCAAACTAATATTTAATTTCAGGTTGTGATAATGGCCCTGAAGGAAATTATGAGATACTAGAAAGAAGTGTAACAGTGGAATCCAATCAAATCCATATTGGGAGGTTAGAGAATGCCTCTGCAGGAAAGCGACACTTAAGCTGAGTCATGAAGGATAAAGTAGGATCTGGGAAGGAAGCGGCTGGAAATACATGTAGGGGTCAAGGGCGGGTGTCCACGCAGAAAAAGAAGGCTGTATGGAGGCCTGAGGAGGAGGAGGACTCTTATGTGGTCAGGGGAGCGAAAGAAAGAAGTGTGGCCAGAGTAAGGCACGTATTTATTTCATGTGTAGAAACAGTGGTCATTTTCTGGCTGCGTAAACTCACTTCATGTAGTCCATATTTTTCTTTTGAACAAGTTTTCAGTGAACTTTTAAAATGTCAAAAATGAATTTCCGTTTCAAACTAGCAACTAGTTGCGGCTAACGCAGTTCTTTAACTTCCAAACGAAAGACCTCTGAAGACTCAGAAAATATAAATACTTACAATAGCATTAAAAATTAAGAACAATATTTTTGGAATCTCAGAGGGATCTTCATAAACTCAAAAGCTGTCGAGGCTGGATTGAAAGAAGTAGCTGCTGGCCAACCCGTGCTCTGAAACTCACGTGCATTCGTGGATACACCAAGGCCAGATACTTAGGAAATGAGTCAAATGGAAAACCATCAAATATCTATGTATTATGGATATCACTTAGTGAGAATGACAGAGAACTTTGCCTTCAACTCAAGAGGTAATATATTTCTTCATCTACTAGGATGTTCCAAGCTGATCAATGAAAACAAAACTGCAAGAAATACTAGGGAAAAGCAGTATTATTTTCACTGACTCTTGAGAGATGTCTCTATAAATAGAAGTAGCCATTGTAGATGTGGATTGAGCCTGGAAGAGCCATGGTAGAAGCACATGCTTAAAATGATGGGAAGAAGGAAGTACTTTGTCAATTCAGAAAATCAGAGAACAATTACATTATACTGACTCATTATTAAGCTAATAAAATTGTTTGTGCAAAAGCATGGTGATGGAAATATACAGGTTATATTTGGAGGTGAGGGTTAAGAAGTTCAGAATTTTTTTGGTAGGCAAAAGATGTCTGAGAAGAATGGTTTGTCCAGACCTGTAGCACGGAATTTTGGATTGCAGAATTTTTAATCAATGGATCAGGCAACTATTTCTTAACTCCAAAAAACAGTAAGAGCTAGGAGTAAAAAATGGCAAATGAATTTGAAGTGACTGTAAAGACTGTACCGTTATAGTGGAAGAATTAAGAAGTCATGATGACATTGGACATGTTTGGCAAGGAAGAAGGAGAAATCAAGTACCCCTGTTCGTTTTGAGTTTGCCTACTTGTTTCTGCTTTTCTGAAGCACAAGAATTGAAATCTAGGTTTAGCTGCAGCATGGTGACTGCATAGAGCTGGAAACAGCTTGAGGATCAGAGTCCCTGACCTGGGAAGCCCCGCCTTTCTGCCCTCAACCCATCCTCCACTACGTT